ACAAACATGCAGCCCCCACTTGGCTAATTTTTTAATTTTTCTGTAGAGATGGGGTCTCACTATGTTGTCCAGGCTGGTCTTGAACTCCTAAGCTCAAGCAATCCTTTCACCTCGGCCCCCCAAAAGTCTAGGATTATAGGTGTGAGCCACTATGCGTGGCCTCAATTATTCTTTAGGAGACTGTTTTATAAGGAGATCTATTCATTTTCCAATACAATAGATTGATTGATGGGTTGAATTAGAAAATAGACAATGGTGTCCATTTGCCCTTTCTGTTAATATAGATAAAAAGCTACAAAGCTTGCAAATCTATTGTTTTCCCTGTTTTATCCTCAAGGTGCTCAAAAGAAGACTGAATTCTTGAAGTAGCATCTTTGCTTTACAGCAGTGGTTCTCCCAGGGGACATCTGTCAATGTTTGGAGACATTTTTGGTTGTCACAACTAGGTGTAGTAGGTATGACTGGCATTTAATAGGTAGAGGTTAGGGATGCTGCTTAATATCCTACAGTGAACAGGCTAGCTACCCCACAACAAAGAATCATCTGGCCCAAAATGTCAATAGTGTCAGGGTTAAGAAGCCCTGGTCAATAGGTACCACCACCATCAATCCAAGCCATCACCACGATAAACTGTTTGGGCAGAATCAAATACTTAAAGCTAAGAAATGAGTTCAACAACAATAATAATAAAAATAGCAGCTGCCATTAATTATCATATGCTAAATAGGCCAAACCCAAGCTAAGTATTAGCTCTATAGTATCTCATTTAATTCTTATGAAGCTCTTGTGGGATATTATTATTCCCATTTTGCAGAGATTATTATTATTATAGTTATTGTGTACAGCAGAGGTATTTAAAGATAACTTTAATGATAGCATAGGGTAATAATCTGGGGACAGAGAATCTAAGACCTGAAGACACGGCATGATGAGAGAGGCAGGAACTGTAAGAGCTGTGTTCAGGGAAGTCCCTGGGGTGGGCATTAAGCATCCACTCTCTTGCTTCCAACTCTTTGGCACTTCCTTATAAGAGTCAATGAAGCAGTAAAATGGCAGATCCAACATGTTTCTTGATTACTGAATGAAAAGGAATATTTATAGACAGATAATGTAGGCAAAAGGCAAAGATAAATAGATAAAACATGGTGACAAACAAGCAATGCATAATTTAATCTTTGAGATCATGAACTGATTCCAGCGCCTTCATGGTACAATGGGAAATTACAAGCCTTAGGGAAAAGGTGACTTGCTTAAGGTAATACAACCATACCCACGAAAATAAAAGAATAGCACTGTGGGCTGAAAAACAGAAGAACTTTCTTTTTTTTTGAGATGGAGTTTCACTCTTGTTGCACAGAGTGGTGTATGATGGCGCGATCTCGACTCACTGCAACGTCCACCTCCCAGGTTCAAGCGATTCTCCTGCCTCAGCCTTCCCGAGTAGCTGGGATTACAGGCATGTACCACCATGCCCGGCTAATTTTGTATTTTTAGTAGAGACGGGGTTTATCCATGTTGGTCAGGCTGGTCTTGAACTCCCGACCTCAGGTGATCCACCCGCCTCAGCCTCCCAAAGTGCTGGGATTACAGGTGTAAGCCACCGCACCTGGCTGCAACCAGAAGAACTTTCTCCAAAATGATAAATCATTTTAGCTCAGATTTAGAAACGGTTAAGAGGGTCCCACCTTTCTCTTTAGGAATAGATAGTTTCTTAAAAAGCTAAATGCCATTATGACACCTGCCAAGATTAACAATAAGTTGGTTTGTTAAATCAGGATCCAAACACAAAGTTTCTTATAATCTAAATCAGCCTCTCTCCCTTTTTACCCTCATAACATGCACTTACAACAGTAACTGGGTCAGCTGCTTTGTAAAATGTCCTACATTCCGGATTTGACTATTTACTTCCTTAAGTTGTAAGTTGACTTACTCCTTTATCCCTTATATTTGCTGCAAGGGAAAGGAGCTTTAGAGATTCAGGTTTCACTTTTCTTTTTTTCTTTTTTTTAACAAGGATACTTCACAGGGGGTAACATCAGGAGGCACATGTCTGCCTTGTCCCACTTTTAGTGATGCTAAGATTGATCAGAGGGTTCAAATGGTAACAGCCTAAGCTCTCTATCAACTTTTCATCTAAAGATTTGATAATCATTCTTTGAATCAATTATTTCACGAGGGGCTGTAAGTGGTGATTTTCTAATGCTACTGGTCCAACTACATTTATTAGTTGGAATTTTTCCCTCACCAACTAAACCTATTTTGATACTCTGAATGACAGTTTATACAGGAAAAGTAGGATAACTATTTAATTATTTCCTTTTACCTTCCAATTTTCAAAATAAAGTACTGGTGCCTTATTATTTCCAACTAAATTTAACAGACACCAAAACTGAAATATATATTTACAGAACATTTAAACAAAAGAGAGGAGAGATTCTGTGAGCAATCCAACTAACATATAAAAGGTATAAGCCAGTACTTCAGATTTGTCCAATGATGTATTAATAAAAGTCCCGCCGGGCACGGTAGCTCACGCCTGTAATCCCAGCACTTTGGGAGGCCGAGGTGGGCGGATCACAAGGTCAGAGGATCGAGACCATCCTGGCTAATATGGTGAAACCCCATGTCTACTAAAAGTACAAAAAATTAGCCAGGCTGGTGGCACGCACCTGTAATCCCAGCTACTTGGGAGGCTGAGGCCGGTGAATCGCTTGAACCCAAGAGGCGGAGGTTGCAGTGAGCCGAGATCATGCCACTGCACTCCAGCCTGGGCAACAGAGCAAGACTCCATCTCAAAAAAAAAAAAAAAAAAAAAAAGAAGTCCAAAGACCTGGGACAACCACAAAATCCTCAGAGGGAAAGGACTGTCCGCTCAAGATTTTTGCTCCTGTGGTAAGTCAACAGAAAGATCTGTCCAAAGCTTTCAGGTCTCTGCAAAATGAATAATAAGCTACCCTTACTCTAAACATGATCAGAAGGCAAATCTCAAACTGAGGTCTGACTTTTTAAAAAAACTATATTTAAGTGAGTTAACTCAACAGCTAAAATTGTCTGTGAATACCATAAATTAATTGGAATACTCACATAGATGGTTGTGCTATGAATAAGAAGTCTTTTTCTTCAATGAAATGAGCTGGAGAAAACTGCCGGTTGTAATGTTAATTTCAGAAAAAATTAAGGTGAAAAATACTAAGAGTCATTATATAATGAAAAAATCACAGTTAGTGGCAGAAAACCAGAGCGAATACATAAACCAAAAAAAAAAAAAAAAAAAATTGGATATACAAAACAAGAAGAACCATTAAAAATGTATACAGAAACCATCACAAATGTAATAGTAGTAGGAGATTTTCATCCCAGTCAAGCAGACACAAATGAAAACAAGTGAATCTGAAAAACATACATTTGGTAAAAATTCATGGTGTAGCAGTGTGTGCTTAAAAAAGCAAATGAAGAGATTTCTTTTCATGTGTTCACTTCTAAAATCTTTTAAAATGTATTTAAAGAGGTAAACATCTTTATGCTACTTTACTGAGATATAGCAAACCTGGCATCTGCCCTGCCACAATAGCACCTGCTTCTAAGATGGCCATATTTCTGCATCTCCATCTTCTCACCTTCCCATATAAGGGTACTTACCCCAAGGACAGTTAATCCATGGCCATGAACCTATAGCCTAGTTAGAAAAGATAATCTGTACCAAATAAGACGTCTTGGGAGTCTGAACTGAAAACAGGGAACAACTTGAGCAGTTTATAGTAGGACAGAAAGAAACGACACGGAATGTGGTTGAGCCATATTAATAGCAGAGAACCAGAGAGAAGATCCTGCTATGAGCTCTTAAGCTATCAAGAATCCAGAGCTCCTTTCAGCTCTGGTCTTCAGGGTTGTCCTATGGCAGCTCCAGGTGTCCTTGTTATCCTGTTCTTATTGTTCCATAGACATCTACATAAGTTTGCTAGGGCTGCTGTAACAAAGTACCACAGACTAGATGAACTTAACCAACAGAAATTTGTTTTCTCACAGTTCTGAAGCATGGAAGTCCAAGATCAAGGTATCAGCATGACTGGTTCTTTCTGAGGGCCATGAGGGAAGGATTTGTTTCAGGCATCCTAGGCTTGTAAATAGCTGTCTTCTCCCTCTGTACATGTAACATATATGACATTTCCTCTTCGAAGGACATCACTCAGATCAGATTAGAACCCAACCTAATGACCTCTTTTTAATATAATTACCTCTTTAAAGACCTTATCTCCAAATATTGTCATATTCTGAGGTATGGGAGTACAGTTAGGACTTCAAGATACATTTTTGAGGAGACATAATTCAGTTCAAAACAATAGCTTTAAAATAATCTCCTCTTGATTTAAGCTAGCTTAAGTGAGCCTCAGTGGCCTGTAACTGAATAGTTCTTACCAAAATAGCTACATTTTCTGGTCTTCCATTATTATTTGAGACAGGTTCTTTCTGTCACCCAAGCTGGAGCACAGTGGTACAATCATAGCTCAAGTAGCCTTGAACTACTGAGTTCAAGTGATCCTCCTGCCTCAGCCTCCCAAGTGGCTGGGGACTTCAGGTGCACGTCACCACACAGGCTAATTTTTAAATTTCTGTAGATATAGGTATTGCCCAGGCTGGTCTCAAACTCCTGGCCTCAAGGGATCCTCCCAGCTCAGCCTTTCAAAGTGCTAGGATAACAGGCGTGAGCTACCACACCCAACCACCTCTATTACTGTTATTATTTTTTTACTTTTAATTTTTTTTTTTTTTTTTTTGAGATGGAGTCTTGCTCTGTCACCACGCTGGAGTGCAGTGGCGCCATCTTGGCTCACTGCAACCTCCGCCTCCCAGGTTCAAGCAATTCTCCTGCCTCAGCCTTCCAAGCAGCTAGGACTACAGGCGTGCACCACCATGCCCAGCTAATTTTTGTATTTTTAGTAGAGACAGGATTTCACCAGGCCAGGATGGTCTCAAACTCCTGACCTCAGGTGATCCACCCGCCTCGGCCTCCCAAAGTGCTGGGATTACAGGTACAAGCCACCGCGCCCGGCTTATTACTTTTAAACTATTTAATGTTTCTTTCAAGCATCTCAATATTTTAAGTTGCAAGACAGCAGTAACGTTTTAATAGTTCATTGAATTCTGCCTCTACAGACTTAGCACCCTATAAACAATTGGCACAGAAAGCAAAACGCACAGTGAAGATTTCCGAGGCAGATGTTGTGGTGTGCCACCCAGACCACCCTTTGTAACTGAAGCATTCATTCCCCTAGCAGCTAGGAGTGTTGGCTGCTGACAGTTCACAGATAAGTCCTATCCTAAGAACTGCCAACAGAGCCACCTCACCCAACGTAATGCCCCCTCCTAGGAAGTGGCCTGCATCCAATTGTGCAGACTTCTAAGAGCCCATCCTTCTTAGCTCAGAACAGAAAATCTCTGAGGGCCACCTCAGCTTCAGAGAAACTTGTGAGATAGGCTGAGGCCTCTGTTGCAAATGCATCACAGTTCAACTCTCCCTCTAACCAATCCTACCCACCCAAGAGGTGCTGATCCTGAGACCACTCTAAAATAAATTTCCTGCACACAAATCTCGGTCTTAGAGTCTATTTCCCAGGAAACTTGACTTGCAGTGCAGCTAACACTATAACAGAAATGAAAACAAACAAAAAATGCAGAAAAATTCACCAGATACTGGGTTCATTTCCTCTTTTCCATTTCTTGCTTTTAGAGAATCGTGTCCACCTTCTATCTCCTTGCTAGAGACAGGGTCCTGTTCCTTCCAGTGCCCTCAAGCAGCCACTCCTCAACACCACAGGCAGAAACCCCAGACAGCAGGGGCACAGCAGGGGGTACCGCAGATCCCAGTTCCTCCGGGACAGCAGGGGGCGCCGCAGACCCCAGTTCCTCCCCTGGGTCCTGTAGCTGCACTTCTGAAGTCTGGTCCCTTCAGGATCTGGCAGAGGGTGAAGACCAAAGGAGAGGAGGAGGTGAAGCAGAGGAATCCGTTTAGGAGGAGAAACTAGTTCTGGTGGCTCCCCACTGGCCTCTTCCTGGGAGCCTGAGTCCAGGAAGCAGGAAGCGCTGGCTCTGAGGGCAGAGACATGGGCCCTGCTGGCTGTGCCTTCAGGCTGCTCCTTCTGCTGGGGGTCTCAGGTGAGTGCCGGGGGTGGGGTGGGAAGGAAGAGGCAGAGGATTTTTACTCAAGAAGGCATCATATATAACAATGTGACACTTCACCCATGGGATGTTACTTATGAGTAGTATGGCCTGAGAAGGTCCTGAGAGGCTACTATATACCCAGCACCGTTCCAATGCTCCTGATTGGAAATAGCAGTACACACACACACACACACACACACACACACACACACAGGATCCCTATCTTCGTGGGACTAATCAATGCACATATTAAATGTATAAATTATAAGGCATGTTAGAAGGTAATAAGTACTATGAAAGGAAAGGAGCATCTGAAGTACAGGGGCAGGAGTGTTGCAATCTTTAGAAGGGTAAAGAAGGCCTCACTAAGAAGTCATTTGAGCAGAACCGAAGGAGATAAGTAAATTAGCTAAGAGGATCCAGGAGAAGAGCATCTCAAGCAGAGGGAACTGGAAGAGCAAACACAGTTCAATGATTTCAGGTATACACTTGAGCAAACACAGTTCAACGATTTCAGGTATACGCTTGTTCATTTATTTTTCTGGTCCACAGGGATTTATAAGAAGGGTATACTGGCCAGGCACAGTCGCTCATGCCTGTAAACCCAGCCCTTTGGGAGGCCAAGGTGGGCAGATCACCTGAGATCAGGAATTCAAGACCAGCCTGGGCAACATGTCGAAACCCCCAACTCTACAAAAAATTAAAAAATTAGCGGGGTGTGGTGGCAGGCACCTGTAGTCCCAGCTACTCAAGAGGCTGAGGCAGGAGAAGTGCTTGAGCCTGGGAAGTGGAGGCTGCAGTAAGCCGAGATAGCGCCACTGCACTCCAGCCTAGGCGACAGAGTAAGACCCTGTCCCCACAAAAAACAAAAAACAAAAAGGGTATGTCGAGAGAGCAAAAAACTTAACAGGTAGCAAAGAAGAAAGATACACAAATACTGCAAAATGCCAATTCAGTTAAACCAAATAGCACAAAAGTAAACAGCTTGCAAACCTCAACCGCATCTGAGGGCATCATTGTATTTATAAACTAACACACTTCATATTCCTGATGGTGACTTTGAATCAAGTAAAAGTTAAATTTGAATCTTCATAGAGCATATATATGTATATATTTTAAGAGACAGAATCTCATTCTGTCACCCAGGCTAGAGTGCAGTGGCACAATCATAGCCCACTGCAACCTCAAATTCCTGGGTTCAAGCAATCCTCTCACCTCAGCCTCCCTAATGGCTGGGACTACAGGCTTGCGACCACACCTGTTGTGTTTGTGGCCCAAAAGAGCTGAAGACAAAAGAAAAAAAACCCTGACTGGTATTTAGGAAGTGATTTGCGAAATATAAGAAAAGTCTCTAATATAGCACCTGTCTCCAACATTCCTTTTTCTACTTCTATGCCCTGTCTCTGGTCATCCCTAGTTTGAGAGTCCGATGTGACCTAGGGTTTCCTTCTGCCCTGCCTATCTCACCACCATTTTTTCCTTTTTTTTTTTTTTCCAGACAAGGTCTTGCTCTCTCGCCCAGACTGGAGTACAGTGGCATGATCCCAACTCACTGCATCCTCCACCTCCCGGGCACAAGCAATCCTCCTGCCTCAGCCTCCCAAGTAGCTGGGACTACAGGCATACACTATCACACCAGGCTAATTTCTTTATATTTTTTTGTAGAGACGGTGTTTGGCCATGTTGTCCAGGCTGGTTTTGAACTCCTGGACTTGAGCAATCCACCCGCCTCAGTCTCCCAAAGTGCTGGGATTATAGGTGTAAGCCACGGTGCCCAGTCAATCTTACCACTTTCATTTGTCTGTTGGTTCATTTATGTAGTCATGCAAATATTCACTGAGAACCTGTCGTGTGCTAGATACCAGCTAGAGCTCACTCTTGTACGCAGTGTGCTGTTGTCAGTATCCACTTCTCATCGATGAGGGAACCTCCACAGATAAAGCTGTGGTCCAAGTGTAGGTTGACCTGCCAAGGCCAGCGCCCTGCAGCAGCATCCTGGCGACCTACAACATGGCTTGAGTATACAGGTCACCAGCACACTGGAGAAAGCAGAGAGACGGAAATGTGGAAATCTTTTTTTTTCAATTTTTTTTAGAGACCTGGTTTCACTATGTTGCCCAGGCTGGTCATAAACTCCTGGCCTCAAGCACTTCTCCCACCTCATCCTCCCAAAGCACCAGGATTACAGGCATGAGTCACTATCCCTGGTTTAAAAAATAATAATAAATTTTAAGTTAAATTGTGTTTCATGTATGCTGCTAAAGGCAGCTAAATATGTTTGTGAAGGTTCCCACTAATAGGTAAAAGCCATTTGAAAATGTTGGCCTTTAACACCAATCTGGAAAATTTAAATATAAAGGAAGGTTCTCTGTTCAGTGAATCTAGATATTAGATGTGTTATTATGTATTAATGATACCCTATTTCTTCCTTAGGGTCTTGCTCATGCTCTTTTCCCAAAAAGAAAGAGCTGCAATCAGGTGAGTGGTCTCCATTTTGAGCCCACGACTGCTGGGTGTGGAACCAGAATAGGATAGAGTATGGTGTCTAGGGAGGGTTCAGGTCCTAGGAATAGATGGGAGTTTGGGAATGATGATAAGGTGGGGACCAGAGAAAAAAGACTCCTAGGTTTCCACATTTCCCTTTCTTCTCTTTCTCTAGTGTGCGGGCGACCTGTATACTCAAGCCGCATTGTAGGTGGCCAGGATGCTGCTGCAGGGCGCTGGCCTTGGCAGGTCAGCCTACACTTGGACCATAAATTTATCTGTGGAGGTTCCCTCGTCAGTGAGAGGTGGATACTGACAGCAGCACACTGCATACAACCGTGAGTTCTAGCTGGCAGCTAGCACACAGACAGGTTGTCAGTGAATATTTGCAACACTTCATGGATGAACCAACTGACAAATGGAAGTGGTAAGATAGGTAGGGCGGAAGGAAACCCAAGTCATGTCAGACTATCAAACCCGGAACATCTAGAGACAGGGCATAGAAGTAGAAAAAGGAAAGCTGGAGACAGGCACTATATTAAAGACTTTTCTTATTTTTTGCCAAATCACCTTCTAAATACCACTCAGGAGATTTCTGTCCTAAGTTTTTTGGGGTCATAAACACAATCTGAGCTCTAAGAGCCACTGCTGTGAGATAAGCAACTTGTGATGTGGTCAGTGTCCCTACGGAGAGGCCCATGTGGAACCCACATCTCTAGTCAACAGTGAGAAGACCCAAAGCCTACCAACATAAGTGACTTTGGACCCAGATCGCCCCAATAAGATGACTGCAGCTCACCTTGATTGCAGCCACATGAGAGACCTTGAGTCAATGGTACTCAACTAAGTCACACCTGATTCCTGACCCATAAAAACTATGAGATAAATCTTTGTTGTTTTAAGCCACTAAGCTTTATGATAACTATGCAACAATTGATAACTAATACATACAGAAATTGAAATTCCAGGACTCTTCAATAACAACACCGAAAGTTCCAATAAAATAAGCCAGGTGTGGTGGCTTGCACCTGTAATCCCAGTTACTCATGAGGTTGAGGTGGAAGGATCACTTGAGCCCTGGAGTTCAAGGCTGCAGTGAGGTACGATTGCGCCACACATGCCAGCCTGGGTAACAGAGTGAGACCCTGTCTCTAAAAAAAAAAAATTAAGTTTTTAAAAAACTCAAAAAAAATAGAGTAATAACTTCAAAATGCTAAAAGAAAATTATTTCCAACTTAGAATTCTACCCATATGCAAACTATCAATCAAATGTGGGATAGAAGTAAAACATTTTCAAATATACAAAGCAGCAAAAATGTTACCTCTCATACACATTTTCTCAAGAAGTCATAGGAGAATCTGTTCCACCAAACTAAAGGGGGAAAATAGGAAAAACAGGAAAACACAGAATCCAGACAAAAGGCAAATGAAACACAGAAGAGAATCCCTAAGAAAGTCATAAAGGATAAAGAAAGTGCCAAGATGATGGCTGTGTCGCAGCCCGGCTTAGAACAAGAGGGCAGAGGGCTCCAAAAAAAAGGTAATATTGATAGAATGCCTGACAAGTTTGAACAAAATGAGAGGAGATTTACACTTCTGGTAGAGAGTCTGGGGAATGAGACTGGTGATGGGTATAAAGATAAAAACAAAAAACCAAAGTGAGCCCACTTACCAACTCCAGGAGAAGCAAAAGGTTTTACAAGAAATGTAATCACCCAATAGGACCCAGTAGTGACTAATGTTTACATAGTCACAAGAACAAACACATTAATGATCTAACAAAAAGTTATGATAACACTGGCTAGTAGGATGGGTGGAATGGAAGTGGGGCGAGGGGGGGTAGAAAGCGATGTGTAAGAAAGCTCAATCCTCACCTTCCACACTAGGAACTCAGGATTCTAAAATTGAAAAAGAAAAATCAAGAAACAGGTATACACAGGGTTTCTTGAAAGCACTTGAAAATTACTAAGAGCTAAAAGAGTTGAAAGTCATTGCCTCTAAATAGTTTGAACTGGGGGTGGTGGGGCAGATAACTTGTTATTCATTATTTATTTATTTATTTTGTACATCTTATCAAACTACATACAAATAAATACACTATTTAACTGTGTATATGTATTAACTGTGGTTACATTTTACTTTAAAATTTTATTCAGAAATGAAGGTCCAGTGCTCAGAACAGGAATCAGTATGGACAATAAACAGCAATGTCTATTAAGCATACAGGTGATAGTTGAAACCATGGAGAATGGGAGAGGTAAATGAGAGAACCGGAGAGAAATTACAGGACAAAACTCAAGCCACAAACCTCTAGGAAGAGACCACAGAAAGAGTGGTCAGGGAAGGACAGGGAGAGAGAAAGAGAGGAGAGAAGGAGACAAATCAACCCTAGTTGAGGTTGGAAGCACCACGGTTAATTCTCAGTTGGCTACCCTCCTTTCTTGACTAGATACTTAGTGCTACATATAGGCAGCTTGTTCTGACCCAGCTGCAGGACATAAGCAGGCCTCCTTTCTTTTCTCCATAGGACCTGGACTACTTTTTCATATACCGTGTGGCTGGGATCAATTAAAGTAGGTGACTCAAGTAAAAGTGTGAAGTACTACGTGTCCAAAATCGTCATCCATCCCAAGCACCAAGATACAACAGCAGACGTTGCCTTGTTGAAACTGTCCTCTCAAGTCACCTTCACTTCTGCCATCCTGCCTATTTGCTTGCCCAATATCACAAAGCAGTTGGCAATTCCAGCCTTTTGTTGGGTGACCGGATGGGGAAAAGTTAAGGAAAGTTCAGGTGAGAATGGGCAGAGAGAAGGGTTGTTTTATATGTCACCCTCTTGTACTCCAGAACATTCCTATTCTAGGCATATCCTTACCATGGCAAATATTTTTCAACAAAACCAGATCAATCTAATGATATTATCTAAGAGTTTTTAAATAAAATATATTTTTTGACATTTATATTTTTATGTTATTTACTCTTACATCTTGCAGAGTCTGGCTATAGCTGGAAGAGCACAGATACTAAGAATTTAAACAAATAACTACCTCTCTCAAACAGAGGTTAACAAGCCTGATTTAAAGTTTGGAGACAGTCTAGTGTTTTTTAACTGTTTTTAAAGTTTTGTGTCAACTCTTTCCCAGGTTGGAGTAGAGACAAGACAGGAACTGATCTAGAAGCAAAAAAAAAAAAAAAAAAAAAAGGGAAAGGAAGAAGTTTTAGAATCCTTTAGAATACTCATACCTTTACTCAATCAGAATTTGTCAGCAGTACTCGTTATTTAGAACAATGACTCAATTTAAAAAACCTCAAAGCAGCAGAAATAATTTAGAATTACTGAGTTTTAGATGTAAATGTACCAAAAGATCCAACCATAAGCAAATATGATGGGAAAGGGATTGTAAGCTGCTTTTGGATTCCCATTCAGAGACCTCTGCACATCATGACTGAGTGCTGCCCCTGCACTTTTCCAGGTTGCTTTAATCTTTTGTTCCTGTCTTCCTCCACAGATAGTGATTACCATTCCACCCTTCAGGAAGCAGAAGTACCCATTATTGACCGCCAGGCTTGCGAACAACTCTACAACCCCATCGGTATCTTTCTGCCAGCACTGGAGCCAGTCATCAAGGAGGACAAGATTTGTGCTGGTGATACTCAAAACATGAAGGATAGTTGCAAGGTCAGGGTGTGCTCTTGAGAATTTTTTCTTTTAAACATGAGATCTTAATTCGGATCCAGGTTTTCCTATCTGTGAATAACAGTGGATTGGGAGTCAGGAGATGAAGGTTCTAAGAATAACTCTTATGTTACCCTGGACAAATCACTTAACTTGCATCTGTGAAATCAATGTCTTCAACTATAAGACTATTGATCTAGACCAATGTTAACCACTGGTCATTGGACTTTTTTTTTTTTTTTTTTAAATTAGAGACAGAGCCTTGCTCTGTCACCCAGGCTGGAGTGCAGTGGCATGATCATAGCTTACTACAGCCTCCAGCTCCTGGGTTCAATCAGTCATCCTCCCACCTCAGCCTCCTGAGTAGCTGGGACTACAAGCTCACACCTCACCAGGCCCACATACTTTTTTCATTTTTATGTAGAGATGAGGTTTCACCATGTTGCCCAGGCTGATCCCAAATTCCTGGCCTCAAGCAATCCTTCCTCCTTGGATTGCTGGACTTTTATAGACTTGTATATTTTCATAAGTATATTATGAGGTTGAAGCAGAATTGCCAACTTTTAAATTTTTTCAAGTAAGAACATTTCATTCTATGCCTAAAAGATGTCGTTCTATTGTCTCCTGGTCATAACTGATGAAAAATCAGCCATTATTTGCATCTTCAGTCCATTGAGAGTAATGTGTTGTTTTGCTCTGGCTGCTTTCAGTATTTTTTTCTTTACCTTTGATTGTCAGCAGTTTGAACATGATGCACTAAGTGTGGTTTTCTTTGCATTTATCCTATTTGGGGTTCACTAAGTTTTTGGTTTTTTAAATCTATTCTTTAACACCTTTCACCAACACTTGGAAATTTTTCAGTAATGATTTCTTTGAAAACTATTCTGCCTCATTTCTCTCTCCTCCCCTTCTAGATGAAACCATACACTTGTTAAGTTATACCTTTTGGTATTTTCACACAGGTCCATTTTATTTTTATGTTTTTCTCTCTGTTCTTCAAATTGGATACTTTTAAATTGATCTATATTGAAGATCACTGCCTCTTTCTGCTGTCACTTACATTTTAAGTCCGTCCAGTGAAATTTTTATTTCAGATTTTTTATTTTTTAGTTGTAGAATGACCATTTGGTTTTAAGAGTTGCTTTAAATCCTTCCTGCTAATTCCAAAATCAATCTGAGTTATCTCAGGGATATTCTCCAACAATTGCTTTTTCTCATGAGTAGCATTTTCCAGTTTATCTTGGAAAATATTTTCCTGTTGTTTTGTTTGTTTATTTTAATATCTAATCATTTTGGAATATATCCTGGACAATGTCAGTAGCATGGTGTAAGGAGTACAGATTGTTATGCTTCTCTAAAGAATGTTGATTTCCTGTTTCAATGGGAAGTCAACTTGGCTGACCTCAAAATCCAAACTCGATCTCTCCTGTGATAGGCATCAGCAGTTATTTTAGCCTTAGCTGAGCTGCTTGGAGTCTAACCTACACATCTGTGTAGTTCAGGGTTTATTCAGAAATTTGAGCAGAGTTTATATGCAGAACTTGGGACTCTCTCTCTCTGTGGCTCTCTCTTTTCTGGTATATTTCCCTTCACTTTCCGACTGCTAAGGTAACTTTAAACTCTATCCTCTGATTCCTCAAGTCAGTAAGACTGTGGGTTTCTTTCTAAGTTCCAGTCACTATGCATGATAATAACTGGGGCCTGCTTTAAGGGAAAAATCATTTTTTTAAAAAAAGAATGTCATCCTTTTCTTCCAAGGATTGACTCTAGTTTCTGCCTATCAGCCACTCTTCACTGCCTTCAGAGAGTAGCCATTTATATGCTGTCCACAATTTATAACTGTTATCCGAAGCAGTTTGTCAGAGACAAGTCACTCCCATAAGAAATTTTAAAAACAGAAAGAGTCCTAAGAAGCGCAGAATATACTTTCTTCTTAAGTGCCCATGGAACATTCTCCAGAATAAACCATATGCTAAGCTGTAAAACAAGCCTCAATAAAGTTGGAAGGATTAAAATTATACAAAGTATATTTTCTAATCACAATGGAATGAAATTAGAAATAAATAAGAGAGAAATATGGAAATTCACAAGTATGTGGAAGGTGACACACTGCTAAATAACCATGAGTCAAAGAAAAAAAGAATCATACAAAAAAATTAAGAAATATTTTCAGATGAATAAAAATAAAGAAACAACATACCAAATCCTACGGATACAGCTACAGCAGTGCTCAGAGAAACATTTATACATGTAAATGCCTACATTAAACAATAAATCTCAAGTCAGTAACCTAATCTTCCATATAAGACACTGGAAAAAGAAGTTCAAGATCAGCCTGGGCAACATAGTGAGACCTTGTCTCTACTAAAAATTAAAAATTAAAAAAATTAGCTGGGTTTGGTGGCACAAGCCTGTAGTCCCAGCTACTTAGGAGTCTGGGGCAGGAGGATCCCTTGAGACCAAAAGTTCACATATGTAGTGAGCTATGATCACACCACTGCACTCCAGCCTGGACAACATAGCAAGACTCTGTGGCTCTGTCTCTTAAAAAAATAAATACATAAATAAAATTTTAAAAGCCTGGGTGTGATAGCTCATACCTGTAATCACAGCACTCTGGGAGGATAAGGTGGGAGATTTTTTTTCAGCCCAGGAGTTCGAGACCAGCCTGGGCAATATAGTGAGACCCTGTCTCCACCAAAAAAAAAAAAAAAAAAAAAAATCAGCCAGGCATGGTGGTACACTTGTAGTCCCAGCTACTTGGGAGGATCATTAGAGCCCAGGAGTTCAAGGCTGCAGTGAGCTATATTTGCACCACTGTGCTCCAGGCTGGGTGACACAGTGAGACCCTGTTTTAAAGGGGCGGGGAGGGGGAGAGGGAAATAAAAAAACTAAACCTAAAGAAAATACAAAGAAGGAAATAAGGGATATAGTGGAAATTACTGAAATAGAGAACAGAAATACAATACAGAAAATAAACAAAAGCAAAAGATGGTTTTTAAAAAGATCAATCAAATTGAAAAAAACTTTAGCTAAACTGAGCAAGAAAAAAAAAAGACTCAAATTACTAAAGAATAAAACTGGGACATTACTAGTAACCTTACAGAAATAAAAATAATTTGTAAGACACTACTATGAATAACAGTATGCCAAAAAATTAGATAACTAAGATGATATGGACAAATTCCTAGAAACACATAAACTACCATAATTTACCTAAGAAGAAATAGATGGTCTGAATAAACCTAATAAAAAGTAAAGAGACTGCATTTGTGATTAAAAACAAAAAAACAAACAAAAAAAACTACCAACAAATAAAAGACCAGGTCCAGGTAGATAAATTCTACCAAACATTTAAAGAATTAATACCAATTCTGGCCACATGCAGTGGCTCATACCTGTAATCCCAGCACTTTAGGAAGCCAAGGCGGGCAGGTCACCTCAGGCCAGGAGTTCGAGACGAGCCTAGCAAACATGGCATAACCCGTCTCTACAAAAAATACAAAAACTAGCCGGGCATGCTGGCATGTGCTTGTATTCCCAGCTACTCGGGAGACTGAAGCATGAGAACTGCTTGAATCTGGAAGGCAGAGGTTGCAGTGAGCCAAGGTCGCGCCACTGCACTCCAGCCTGGGTGACAGAGTGAGATTCTGTCTCAAAAAAAACAAATAAATAAATTTAAAAAAATAATAACAACAATTAATACCAATTCTACACAAGTTCTTTTGAAAAATAAAAGAAGGAACTGGGCACAGTGGCTCACACCTGTAATCCCAGCACTTTGGGAGGCCAAGGTGGGCGGATCACCTGAGGTCAAAAGTTTGAGACCAGCCTGGCCTACATGGTAAAACCTCATCTCTATTAAAAATACAAAAATTAGCCAGGTGTAGTTGCCTGTAATCCCAGCTACTCAGGAAGCTAAGGCAGGAGAATCACTTGAACCTGGGAGGCAGATGTTGCAGTAAGCCAAGATCATGCCACTGCACTCCAGCCTGGGTGACAGAACAAGACTCTGTCTCCACAAAAAAAAAAAGAAAAAAAAGGAACACTTCCCAACTCATTCTGTAATCAGTATTACCGAGACCAAAACCTGATAAAGGCATCACAAGGAAGCTATAGACCAGTATCTCTTATGAATAGAGGTGCAAAAATCCTCAACGAACCAAATCCAACAACATATTAAAAGGATTATATATACCTGAATGCCAATTTCCTGTTTCAACAGGAAGTCAAGTTGGCTGACCTCAAAATCCAACTGCAGGTAATTACAAATAGGTATGTGGATTCTTTTTAGGATGTGGTGACTCAAGCCTTGTAATCCAGCACTTTGAGAGGCCAAGACGGGAGGATCACTTGAGGTCAGGAGTTCAAGACTAGCCTGAGCAACACAGTGAGACCTCGTTTCTACCGAAGATTTTTAAAAATTAGCCAGGCGTAGTGGCATACACCTGCAGTCCCAGCTACTTGGTAGGCTGTGGTGGGATGATCACTTGAGACTGGGAAGTCGAGGCCACAGTGAGCAGTGTTTGTGCCACCACATTCTAGCCTGGGAGACAAAGTGAGACCCTATCTCTCTCTTTTTTTATTTTTCAAAAAAATAAAAATAAAAAGGATATACCATAAACAACTGGGATTTATCCCAGGAAACTTAGGTTGGTTTAAAATCCAGAAATCAATTAATGTTAATATACCATGTTCTTAGAATAAAGAGCAAAAACATATGGTCATGTCAATAAATACGGAAAAAACATTTGATAAAAATCCAACAACCCTTCACGTTAAAAAACAAAACAAACAAAAAAACACTCAACAATGAGATGAGTGCAGTTTTTCTACTCGATCAAGTGCAACTACAAAAAAACCCCAGCTAAAATACTTTGTGGTAAAAACCTAAATGCTTTTGCCATAAGGTCAGGAAAAAGACAAGAATGTCTACTCTTGCCATTTCTATTCAACATTGTACTGGAGGTTCCAGCCAGAATTAAGCAAGAGACAAAAAAAAAGACATCCAGATTGCAAAGAAGGAGTAAAACTATCTCTATTCAAAGATGACATGATTTTATAAATAGAAAATCTAAAGGAATGCCACCTCCCAAAAATTAGAACTAATAAACACATTCATCAAAACTGAAGGATATAGGGACAATATACAAAAAGCAACTGTAGGCTGGGTGTGGTGGCTCACGCCTGTAATCCCAGCACTTTGGGAGGCCAAGGCAGGTGGATTGCTTGAGTTCAGGAGTTTGAGACCAGCCTGACCAACATGGTGAAACCCTGACTCTACTAAAAATACAAAAACTTGCTGGACGTGGTGGCGGGGTGCCTGTAATCCCAGCTACTCATGAGACTGAGGCAGGAGAAACACCTGAACCCGGGAGGTAGAGGTTGCAGTGAGCTGAGATCTCGCCACTGCACTCCACCCTGGGCGGGGCAACAAAGCGAGACTGTGTCTCAAAAAAAAAAAAAAAAAAAAAGGGAAAAAAAAAAAAAAAGTTAATATTGCAGTATTCTCCAAATGGATCTACAGATTCAATGTAATCCCTATGAAAACCCAGCTGGTTTCTTTGCAGAAACTGGCAAGCTGATCCTAAGATGCATATGGAAATTCAAGGGGCGCGAAACAATCTTGAAAAACAAGAAACAAGTTGAAGGACTCACATTTTTCATATTTCAAAACTAACAGTAATCAAGACAGTGTGGTATTAGCATGAAGAGAGACATATATAGATCGATGAAATAGGATTGAGTGTATAGAAATAAACCCTTATACTTATGGTCAATTAATTTTAAACATTGGTATTGAATCAATTCAATGAACAAATAATAGTCATTTCAACAAGTGATGCTGGGACAAGTAGATATCCACATGCAAAAGAATGAACTTGGACCCTGACCTCGCCATATACCAAATTAACTCAAAATGGATCTATGACCTAAATATAAGAGCTAAACTATAGCACCTTTAGGAAAAAACATATAGGTAGGTCTTTGTGACCTTGATTAGGCTACATTTTCTTAGATATGTTATCAAAAGCATAAGCAACAACAAAAAAAGATTAGAGTTCTTCAAAATTCAAAACTTACGCTTCATTGGACACCATCAACAAGGTAAAAAGGTAGCCTATGAAATGGAAGAAAGTATTTGCGAATCATATATGTAAGGGATCTGTATCTAGAAAAAAGAACACTTGTAACTCGATCATAAAAAGAACACAATTTTTAAAAGAGCAAAGAATTTGAATAGATATTTTTCTAAAGATATACAAATGTCCAATTGTCATAAAGATATGCAAACGTAGAGAAATTGGAGCCTTCAAACACTGTCGGTGGTAATATAAAATGGTGCAGCCTCTTTGAATAACCGTTTGGCAGTTCCTCAAAGGTTAAATATAGAATTACCATATGACCCAGAAATTCCACTCCTAGGAATATGACCAAGAAAGATAAAAATATGTCCATACAAAAACTTGCACATGAGCTGGGCACAGTGGCTTCCACCTGTAATCTCAGCTACTCAGAAGTCTGTGGCAGGAGGATCGCTTCAGTCCAGGAGTTCAAGACCAGCCTGGGCAAAACAGGGAGACCCTGTCTCTAAATAAACAAACAAAGAAAAAACTGGTACAAAAGTGTTCACAGCAGCATGATTATTATTTTAGAAACAGGGTCTTGCTCTGTCACCCAGGCTGGAATGTAGTGGCAGGATCATAGTTCATTGTAAACTTGGCTCAAGCAATATTTCTGCCTCAGCTTCCCGAGTGGTTGCGATGACAGGCATATGCCACCACAGCAGTTATTTATTTATTTATTTATTTATTTATTTATTTATTTGTTTGTTTGTTTGTTTTGTAGAGACAGGGTTCCACTAGGTTGCCCAGGTTGGTCTCAAATGCCTGGCCTGATCCTCCTGCCTTGGCCTCCCAAGACACTAGGATTACAGACATGAACCATCATGCTGGGCCATAGACGCGTTATTTATAATATAATAGCCCAAATAACGGAAGCAATCACAATGTCCATCAGGTGATGAATGCAGAAACACCAAGTGGTACATCCATACAACAGAATATTATTCAGCCATAAAAAAGAGTGGAGTACTGATACAACATGAATAAACCTTGAAAAGAACGTGCTAACCAAAACAAGCCAGACACAAAAGGCCACATATTACATGATTATATGAAATGTCTAAAATAGGCAAAACCATAGAGGCAGAGAGTGGACTACTGGTTGGCCCAGCTGGGAGGGCTGGGAAGAAATGGGGGTAATTATGAATGGGTATGAGGTTTCTTTTTAGGGTGATAAAAATGTCCTAAAATGGGTTGTGGTGATGGTTGTACAACACTGTAAATATACTAAAAACCACTGAATTGTGTAGTATGTAAATTATATGACAGTAAAGCTGTTATAAAAAAGAAAGAGAACAAGACTGGAAGACTACTACCAACTTCTATCACTATCATTTTAGGTAAGAACTGATTACTTAGCACTAAAAAAGAACAGTAAGAACAGGAAATTAAGGCAGTTCATTCATTTGAATAAATTTATCTTTAGTGAAAAAATCATCCCATTAGTTTTATTTCTCTTTTTATCACAGATAAATATTTTGAAATTACTCATCTATTTCACTAAGGTCCCTGACAATTTCAATTCTATGATTCTAAAATTCCTGTGATCTCTCCCTAAAGCAGTGATTAGTCTAGCTCCCTGTAGAGTTCCACAGCTGCATGGGTCTCATGGCCCAGTTTTAAAGAATTCTCCACTCCTTATTACTACTCTCTTCTTCATGCCTCTTTACACTATGCTCATTACCTTTATTTCTTCCTTAGGGTGATTCTGGAGGGCCTCTGTCGTGTCACATTGATGGTGTATGGATCCAGATAGGAGTAGTAAGCTGGGGATTAGAATGTGGTAAATCTCTTCCGGGAGTCTACACCAATGTAATCTACTACCAAAAATGGATTAATGCCACTATTTCAAGAGCCAACAATCTAGACTTCTCTGGCTTCTTCTTCCCTATTGTACTACTCTCTCTGGCTCTCCTGCGACCCTCCTGTGCCTTTGGACCTAACATTATACACAGAGTAGGCACTGTAGCTGAAGCTGTTGCTTACGTACAGGGCTGGGAAGAGAATACATGGAGATTTAGTCCCAGGGGCAGAGAACTCACAGGAGAGCCACTGGTAACCCTGGATGACTTTATTCATAATTTGAAATGATTTTGTTTTTAAGGTTCTTGATTTTATAAGTTTTGGGGTTGGAATGTGAAGAGTTAAGAAATAAAGCTGCCACTTTGTACATTCTTTGTCCCTGACTAATGAGTCTTCCAAGGCAGGAAGGATGTCCTTTATGAATAAGTATTTGTAGACACAAATTAAATAGCTACTACAGAGGCAGGCAAGTATCTGTGATGACACAGGAAAATATAATAAGGGTCTACCTCGTGCCCATGGGTTGCATCATGGGATAGTCTATTATTTCTCACCTCCTCTACTATCTTTAACTTCCCTTCTAACCCCTGCTTTACCCCTCAACTGTAACAAGAGGGCTAATAAAAAATTCTTATAAAGCCAACTCTGGGCACACTGCCTAGGGATTAGCTAGTCCTGCTCCATAAGGAGTAGTAAAAAAAGAAGAAAAAAAGAGAGATGCAAACATGGGTCAGGCATGTTGGCTCACACCTGTAATCCCAACACTTTGGGAGGCCAAGGATCATCACTTGAGGCCAGGGGATGGAGACCAGCCTGGGCAACAGAGCCCCTGTCTCTATAAAAGAAATAAGAAATTAGCCAAGAATGGTGGCTTGTGCCTGTGGTCTCAGGTACTTGGGAAGCTGAGGTGGGAGGATCGCTTTAGCCCGGGAGTTTGAGAATGCAGTGAGCTATGATCACATCACTGTACTCCAGTCTGGGTGACAGAGCAAGACCCTGTCTTTAAAAAAAAAAAAAAAAAGGAAAAGAAAAGAAGGAAAGAAATGCATATATGTAGTTCAGCTCTGTATTTTTCTGAAGTCTTTACTTTTTAAAATATCAGTGTGACCTACTACCAACAATGGATTAATGCTATGATGTTAACAGCTAATCTGGACCTATCTAAGTGGTTTAACTTCACATCTATTAAAAAAATACTTTAAATATTTAGAACAAAGGAAATTATAGAAAAGAGCATTATATTCCATGCTTCCTTTGTTAAACAAACACATGACCTATCCTATTCCCTTCTATACCTAGGCCGCCAGAAACTCAGAGCTAACTTTTGAACTCAATTACAATCATTATCTTCACCATAGATTTTTCTGGTATAATTCCATTCATATTTCTTTAAGTCATCCTTTATTTCTCATTTAAATGAACTTGTTTTATTGCATCTGTATCTTTTACAAGATATGGCTCCTTTTATTAAAAAAATTTGAAAGTTTTTGAAAGTAAGTACACTTTGGCTGACTTTAAGCTTTAAGCTACAGGTGGCTCACGCCAGTAATCCCAGAACCTTGGGAGGCCAAGGAGGGTAGATCACTTGAGGTCAGGAGTTCGAGACCAGCCTGACCAACACGGTGAAACCCTGTCTCTACTAAAAATACAAAAATTAGCCAGGCATGGTGGCGGGTGCCTGAAATCCCAGCTACTTGGGAGGCTGAGGCAAGAGAATCGCTTGAACTCGGGAGTTGGAGGTTGCAGTGAGTCAAGATCCCGTCACTGCATTCCAGCCTAGGCGAGAGAGCAAGACTCTGTCTCAAAATAAAATAGAATAAAATAAAGTACATTTAATGGACATACATTTAATAGACAGTAAGGGTAGATTTGGGAACTTAAAATTCTTGCTAACAGTTAACCCTACCTGGGTTAGTAGCATCTGGATTGCCTTTATAGCCTCCTAACTAGCATTTCCACATCCTTTCTTATGCCTTCCATTTACACCCAACTCCATTTATTCTCCTCCATAGCATTCAGATTAGTGTTTTAAAAATAAAAATAATTTTTATACCTCTCCCTTTTTCCTCTGCTTACAGCACTTCAAAGGCATCCTCCTGTTGCTCACAGAATAAGGACCAAAACTCTTATTGTGGCCTACAAAGCCCAGCCAATCTGACCCCAGCCTGTCTCTTCAGCCTCGTTTGGCTCACTTTCCAGCCTATTCTCTATGCTTAAACTTCTTCGAACGTTCTAAGCACCCTTTCAGCATCAGACTTTTGCATCTGCTATTGCCTCTCTCCTGCTGCCCTTGTCTAGTTAATTCTTACTGTGCCTTTCAGATCTCAATTTATCCTTCACTTCCTCAAGGAAGCCATCCCTGTCTCTCCTAACCAGGACAGGTCCTCCTAATTCTCACAGCTCTATGGAGCCCTCCTTTACAGAACCCAACATAGCTATAATTGAACATTCGTTATTTGTTGTCTAATTAACATAGGTCTACCTTATCAAATTGTAAGTCCACAAAAAAAGAATTTTTGTTTTTATCCACCACTGTATCCTAGTCTCAATAAATATTTGTTGAAAAAAATGAATGAGTAATAAACATCAATTCAGCTTATTTGTCTCCCTAACTATACTGTCAGAACCTGGATATTGCTTATGGAGGTAGCCCAGAATCTGAAACAATGTTTCGCACAAAGTAGGTTTCAAATATCAGTTAAATACAAGGATGAAGGATGAAAAGAATGTTCCAATGCAATTCTTATTCAGGCCTCTCTGGCCATAAGGAACAAAGGACGGAAAAAATTATACAAAGTAGGTAAATTGAAAGGTAGGTAAATTGAAAGGTTTCTCAGAGGCAAGAACTCAAGCTAAACAGGATCTGGAATGATGCAGAGGGCAAAGCAAAATGGCAGCTGAGAGGAAAGAACAAGAGACAAAGAAAGAAGGGGTAAAGACAGACTTCAAAGAGAAAAGAGACTATCATCAAGAACCAGAGAGGAACAAAGAGAAAGCACAGAAGTATGTGGGCCAGGATGACACAGCAAGGGGACATAAAGATCAAGAAAGCCAGGATTCCTATCAATCCTCTCACTGTTGAGTTTGAAATTGGAAGCAACTGTTCCACAGCATAGGATCTGGCAACATTTTTCTCATCAACAAGGAGTAGAAACTTGGAGGGACCAGGCCATGCAAGCGGAAAGAAAGGAGTATCAAGAGAATAGGACATAAGATCTCACTATCTTGATCACTACTGGGTGGATGCACCAAGGGTACGCACCTAACATAACAGTTGCCCAGGGGGTGGTGGGGCAGTTAGCCCAGCATCATAGATGCACTCAGTATTGGACAACACAACAGACCCTCCTCTGGAGAAGTCCAAATGTGAGCCATATAGTATGTCTACGTGCACTCAACAGCATTAAGTGCCCTCCAGGTACCAGGTACCATTCTAGGCATGGAGGACACTACAGTAAATATAACACGTCAAGCCGGGCTTCAAGTAGTTTACATTGCAGTGGAAGACAGACAATAACCAAATACAAAATAAATTCATACTATAATGTCATGTACAAGAAAGGCTGATAATAGAATAGAAGAAGCAGATAAGAGTATCAGGATGGGAAATTCCACCTTAGACAGGGTGGTCAGGGAAGGTTCTCTCAGGAGGTGACATTTGATAGAGGCCTAAACAAAGGAGGGAAGCAAGGACTAAATGAAGGAGGGAAGGTGCGGCCGAGTGAACAGCGAGTACAAAGGTTCTGAGGTTAGATGGGTGTGAGGAAGGCCGGTCAGCGTGGCTAGGACACTGTGAGCAAAGGTGGAAAGGTGTATGAACTAAGACCAGAAAGAAAGGGAGCAGGGGCTAGGTCCTGCAGAAGCTACTAGGCCTCAGTAAGGACTCCGAATTTCATTCTTAGTGACATGAGAAGCCACTGGTGAAGTGAGAGCAAGGGAATGATTAAAGAACAGAAGAGAATCCCACACCACTGCTCATGGGAATATGCAGAGGCCAGGAAGGGGCCAGGATGGCAAAGAGGGCAGTCAGATGGTAGCAGAGTCAGAACAAAAAGCTGAGAGAAAGAATCAGACACCAAGGCACTGAAGTAGAGCTGAGTAAAACAAGGACTGCTATAACCTGAACATCAGTGAGTTTCCACATGAGGCTATGTGCTATCTTATCATCTTCCCCTATTCTTTATCTGCACTGTCCTTAGAGTAAGGCCCCATTTACCAAGTGACTTGAGAAAGGTACAGTCCAAGTTTTCTAGCATTGACTTCGGAATTCGTCACCAAGATAGCTAACTCACTTCCTGTTTGTTTTCTTCTTATCCAGACAAGTGTTCTCATTTCTTCATCCCATTTCCACCTCAAGGCTTTATTTCCTCTGTCCTCTACACCTGGAATACCTTTCTTTTGATACCTCAACCCACTTATTTCTGCCCATTGAGTAGAAAAAGGAGGCAGTGAACATCTAAAAAACACATTAGAAGAACCCTAGAAAATGGTTTTTAGACTGGGTGCGGTGGTTCACGCCTGTAATCGCAGCACTTTGGGAGGCCAGGCGGGCGGATCACGAAGTCAGGAGATCGAGACCATCCTGGTTAACATGGTGAAACTCTATCTCTATTTAAAAAAACACAAAAAATTAGCCAGGCATGGTGGCGGGCATCTGTAGTCTCAGCTACTCAGGAGGCTGAGGGAGGAGAATGGTGTGAACCCAGGAGGTGGAGCTTGCAGTGAGCCAAGATCACGCCACTGCATTCCAGCCTGGGTGATAGAGTGAGACTCTGTCTCAAAAAAATAAAATAAAATAAAAATAAACATTTGCATTCACAAAACAAAATTATCAAGTACTTACTTGTAACTAATTTAATCAGTAACACCACAAACGAGGAGGAAATAAAAGGGACATCTTTACTTTTATGGGGCTCAATACAGCATTTCTGCCTTAAAAATGAATATAAATTTGCAGAATATTTTATTCCATGGAATATCTGATTTTAATATGCTTCAATTTTCATTTCACACATCTTGAGGAATTTTAATTAAGGTGAGATTTTAACAAATAAAGGTTGCTAAAAATCCTATGAGCAATTTTTTTCCTAAACGTGGGGAAAATTTGTAAATTCAGTTATTTCCTGATCTTTTCACAATGGACTACTTCAAGTATGACCCATTTTTTTCCTATATTCCACTAAACTGTAATGTTACCCCAAAAATGTGAGGACATAACGGAAAAAGGATTCAGAATAATAAAATGTCGAAGCTGTATTTTGATAATATTTCGACAGTGAATGTTATATCTTTTCAGATGTCTGACTTCATCCTCTCCGCCCAACTGTGTATAGTTTATCCACACACTAGAAATCAGCTCCCTGAGAACTTTTTAAAATATATTGTTTCAGGAAATGGAGGAAGGGGAGGAGTCATTCAAAATAATCAGAAATCAGATTACTTCATTCTCTGCTATTGATAATTGAGAAGAAACATTCACTGTCTGAAGAATAAAAAAAATAGAAATCTTTAATGGAAATTCTATTTGCCTTCCAGGATAATTATCCTCTACCAACCTAAATCCTCTCCACTGTCTACTACTATGTAAGCCTTCACTTTCCATCTCCATGTAGTTGGATAAAGTAATTGGAATCTAGTCCTGTGGCATTTTGTGTACCATTCTCATGACACTCAGCCCACATAGCCTTGTACTATAATTATCTCTGAACACCAAGGAGTGAAAAGAATAGGATAGGATGAGGGCCTGTGGCTCCAGAATGCTAAT